AAGCACATCCAAAATCAATATCTCAATCAATATTTTTCAATATTTTTCAATATAAAAATCAATATGTTTATCAATATTTTTTTGGTCAAATCATTGAAAAAAAGATATTGATTCTAATCAATACAAGCAAAATCAATATCTCAGGACATCAAAATATTGATTCTAATCAATATCGGATGCTCAGGGTAAGATGCAATGACGCCGAGAATAAGTTCTGTCGCCTAATTGTTTGCCAAAGCCACGCCTCCCTATCTGACTGATGTCTTGCAGTTCAGTTGTGTGCGGTGTCTTTGTTGTCCCCCACAAAGTGCAATAATTGCGCCTTGCGTGCATTCCTCCAAGTAGATGGTAGGAAAAAACAACAAGAATTTGAGGAGCAGGATCAGGCGGGCCAGTGCCGCACACTTCACACATCCAAGAATGAAACAAGCAGCACGCTATCCAAAAAATCCGCAAGTCATGCTAGAAAGATGTTTTCTGCCTACACCTGCAATGCTGTCTTTGATTAGCACGCACATCCCAAGCTACGTCTTGTCGCGGAGGAAGCACATGTCCTTGAAGCGCCTCCTCTACCTGTGTCACCTCAGATATTCAGACAGGCGCTGAGCCTTCAGAAATACGCTTTTGAACCCAATGAGTCCAACCGTTTCACATGGATTGGCACATATCGAGTGCGCCATGGAGTGGAGGAGTCTTCAGCAGAAGCAGGCTGCAAGGTTACAAAGAAGACAGAAGGGACAGCCAAAGCAGTGGTGCGGGGCATAGCCTTTCACGCGTTTTAGCCGCGGCTGGTAAAAGATGGCCTGGCCTGTGCTGCATTTGCATTACGTACTCAGCTTGAGCTCTTTCGGAGGGGAATTGTGCTTGTGCCGATTCCTGTAAGAGCTGTTGTCTACATGTAGGTTTCAAAAGAAAACGTACCCTCCAAACTGATTGCAACATGCTCACATGGTTTTCAGTCTTGCAAGTGTCTGCTTGCAAATGAAGGATGCGCTTGTTAAACTTCTCCACCGCAGGCAAGGATTGTGGATGAGAAGAAGCGCTCCAAAATCAAGTGGCATGGTTATCAGGTCTCAGAGACTTGTTTGGGATTGAGTGTTGACAAGCCTTTGGAGATCACCATAGCTGCCCTTGGAGATGACAGGCGCAAATTGTCAAGAGCATCCCGCGTGCGAAGGAAATAGCGGCGAAGTGTACGAAACTTGAGATGGCAATGATGACTTCAGAAATGTGGTGTTGGATTCGATGCAGACTCAGGCTTGCAACTTGCGCGGCAAGGACGGCGGAAGAAGGCTGTGGAAAAATTGAAGGAGATTGCTTGTGCATTTTCTTCCCATGTTGATTCATGCTGGAAACAACACAATGCGAGCCATTCAAGGGCCAGGAAAGGCTGAAGGCGAGCCAGTGGACTCTGGACTCGCTGCAAGGCGAGCTAGTGGACTCTTGGCTGAGCGAAGCCGTACTTTTGCGTTCTGTCGTGCGGGCGTGTCCTTTCAACGGCCAAAGGCAATAAGGTGCAGGCTGAGATAGTACCGCGCTTAATTCGTCAAGCCATGTTTTTGACTACATTTGTATCAGTTTTACAGTTGCTTGACTTAAGCTTGTTTCTTTTGTAGGCCTTCTCATGCCCTGCATTCAAGACACCTTTGCTCCAGCGGATCTCTTGGAGTCAACCAGGTACCAGCAAACATGTCTCGCTCACCGCATGCTGCGCATGGAATGTAACTCAATTTATAATGTGTAGTGTATACACTTTCTTCTGATGGCACATACGTGTGCAAAAGGTGTACGTAGACTGCAACTTAAAACCATACATGATGCATTAACAAATTTTAACAAAAAGAACTATTGAACTATGATGAAACTATGATATGCCAGGGGCATTTTCTGGATTTTTGCATGTGGTGGTTTCTTTTGCTTCTTCAGCCATTTCATGTGGAGCTCTGAGTTCGGCACGCCTGTGGGGACTGTGGCAGTAGGCTTGACTTCGCGGCAATCGGTGTATTTACAAGTGTACGCGCTTTTCGAGGCCTTGTGCGGAGCTCTCGCAGTTCCTGGAAGAGGCACCGGCCGGCAGAGAGTGCTTCGCAAGCAGTGGCAAGCAGCTCTTTGCGTGTTTTCTTTTCGCAGAAATCTGAGTGTTCAAGTCATGTTGGGCTTGTAGCAGCGATGAAACAGCGCATCGGAGCCATGTTCAGCCGCGTGCCCGGTAGCGTACCAGCTCTAGGCGCAGGTGCTGCTATCGGTGGCTTTGTGCTAGATGCTTGGAAGCCCCGGCAAGAAGAACAAGATCGCGCTCGTATGGTTAACCGCGTGATCCACAGTTCCTTCCACGCTTTCCAGCCCCAAGTGGAAATCCCGCGCGAGCAGGTCCAGGCCCGGTGTCATGCAAAAGTCGTCAGCATCCGTGTCGCTTTGTCTTTCACCCTGTTCTGCTAGGTCACCATGAAGCGCCTGCTGGATCTGGATGACCGCTCCCCCGTGCTGATCTGGGGCAACCACCTGGCCGGTAAGAGCTTTGCCCTCTTCAAGGCTTTGGAACAGGCAGGCTTTCGCGAGGGCATCGTCCACGTGAAGCTCAACAGCGACAAGCAAATCGCAGAAGAAAAACTTTGCCAGCAGCTGGGTGCCCTCGTCCACGTTGAGGCCGAAGAGGCCCTGAGGCGGGCAGCAAAGACGCTGAGCCGCCTGCCCATCGTCATCCTGGAGATCCCCCGGGAGGTCAGCGACATGGCAGTTGTACGCAGTTGCTCTGGCTTCGCCAAGACATGGGGCTACGACGCCGAATTGGCGAAAGTCATCGTGTTGGCGAGCAGCGCCTCCATGGCCCTGAGCTTTGATGCTGACGCCCGGGAACGTCTGTTCCAGGTCCAACCGCTGAGCGAGGAAGAGTGGCAGCAGGAGGAGGCGGGTTTGCTGAGCGCGTTCCTTTCAGTCTTTGTTTGGCACTCCCTGACCAGGTCCAGACGTTCCTCAAGCACCACGGTGGAGCCGTCGCTGTCGAGCACAAGTCGGACCTCCTCCACCTCTCCGGCGGCAACGTGGGCAAGTTGGAGGCCGTTGCATTGTCTTGTCTTTCCAGCCTTGTCTTTGCAAAGGCTCGGTGTGTTGCGAAGCTTTTCGAGCCCCGCAGGACCTGGCGCAGGCCTTGCGGACGAAGACCTTCGAGGAGGTCCGGCTCGAAACCATCGGCGCGCAGGACGGGGTTGACTTGAGCCTTTTAGTTTTGCGCTTTTTTGTTTTGCGCAGTCAGGAGGCGGAGATCCTGCGCTTCTTCTGCATCGATGCGCAGGGCGGCTTCGGCCCAGGAAAGGTCCTGGCTGCCAAGGGGTGGCCCGCCGCGTGGCGGACGCCCCGTTTGACCAGTGCGTCAGGTCCGTGGACTTCACTGACCGTTTCACCAGCAAGCATCTGGCGCAGGCGGTGAAGGCTCAAGGTGCCCACTGCGTCTATGTAAAAGCCACCGCTGAGGGGGGTCGGTTTTGTGCAGCAACGCCATCCGTGCACGCTCTGCTCAAACACAAGACCAGGTGGTTGGGAATCTTCTGATGCAATTGAAATCGCCAGGAAGCCTTAAGCAGCCCAGACTGGGTTTTGATGATAGAAAGTTGAAGTAGCAGACCCACCATTCCACCACAGGGGGCGGACGTGCAGCCTGCCAACAGCGCAGGGCCAGGATTTGATGACACATCGTTGACGCAGCCTGGGAGCATCAGAGTTTGAGTGAAAAGAGGGGCAAGCTGCCAGTCGATGTTGACTTACTCTGCGCAGGCGGCGGCAGTGCAGATCTCAGGTTCCTGTTCAAAGTGCAGACCTCTGAGTGCAAGTGCCCGGTGAGAGTTGTGGCTAAGGCAGGGCGTTAGGTGTGTTGTTTGCCGCGTGTTGGGAGCTTGCGAAAACCCAAAGTACTAAGTACATCCAACCAACTACTAAGTCCAACCTAAGTAAGACCCAGCAAAGTCTCCTTTTCTCCAGGCACATGAGCCTTGAGCCAAAGTATTTGGCAAAGTAATGATGACAAAAGTAAACATGCAAGAGGGGACAAAAGTGCATGATATTTCGCACGCGCCCTTGACTTAAAGCCCTGTGACTTTAAAGTCACACTAATTAACCTTGCATGTTTCAAAGTTGAAAAACCATGCAAAGTATTGAAAAGGTCAAACTACTAGTTCGAAATTCCAGGATCAGAAAAGTTCAATCAGCATCTTTTCAATTATCCTACCAAAAAGTTGACTTCGAACCAAAAGTTGGGATGCCTCTAGTACAAAGTGGTTGGCGCCTAAAGCACTTCAAAACTCCTTTGCATCGTTTGCCTTAAATAAAAGTGAGAGTGCCAAAGTGAGTCTGTCCCATGAACGTAGTTCAAGGATCACTTGAACAAAAAGTAGAAATAAAAGCTTGAAGCAAAAAAACGACAGCAAAGTCGACGCCCAAAGTTTCAGGTGACACTCAACTGAATTCTGAATTCAAATCTACGGCATCGATCTGAAAAGTGGAACCAAAAGTTCTCAAGGGATTGCATGTTCATTATCAGAAAGTTGATCCCTCAAGTTCTTGTGTACAATCAAATGTCCCATTCGGACAAAGTTGCCATTGGAACGCGCCACAAGCAAGTTGAACTGATGAGCCATAAAGTTGAAGCTCATACTGACAGAGTAGAGTGCGCAAGACATCACACTTTCTCTTGGAAACTCAAAGGAATCCAAAGTTACATTGACCTTCAAAAAGTGATCAAAAGTTCTGACAAAGAAGACAGGAAGTCTAAGTCCAATCAAAGTCATCCGATGATGACCCAATCCAACCTTCTGGACATTGTAAATGCTCATACTAAAAGTAGTGAGCAACAAGGCACTTCGAGGACAAAGTCCAAACTGCAAATTGTCAAGTGCCTATGACAAGTCCTCTGCAAAGATTCTGGAAGTTGCCAAAACTTTAAAAGACAACGGTTCAGGCAATGCAACCCAGAAAGTTGCGTGGCAAAGTTGAGGACTATTCAGTTCACCAACTGGCATGTTCGATAGCGAAGTATTTCAGGAGCATGGTAAGAGTGCTCCAATGATATGCCAGGGAAAAGTTGATCCAGCATGTCAAAGTGCCTGGCGCCAGGACCAGGTCTTATGTTGCAAATTTGACGTCCAGTCAACATCAAATTCACAAAAGTTCTTGTATCTAGCCACTTATTGTAAAGTGGATTGTCAACACTTTCAATAGTTGCTGACATGGCTTCAAAGTGATGGCAAAAGTTTTGGGTGCTCTTCCAAAACGTGCAACAAGTAGAAGAGTAGATCTCAAAGTTTGACCTGCAAAAGTGCAAAGTTGGTCTGAACTCAGTTGGTCTGTCATGAAAGTTTCGCCTCAAAGTGGATCACCTGTGCCAGTTTCAAAGTATCACCGGAAAGTTGAACCCGATGCATTCCTGCAAAGCGGTACTAAGTTTCTTGCGCAACAAGTACCGCTCAAGTCCGGTGTGAAAGAAAAATAAGTATTTCCTATGTTGAACCACCAGTTTTTCAGAAGTTAAAATATTAGAATATATCCTAGGTCGGAAAAAAGCGCGCAAAATGCAAAAGTGAATCACAGCTGCACTCGCGCTCAAATATTGATTCTTTTCTTTCAAGCAGTTGGGGTTTGTCCGAAGTGTTCGACTCACCAGCGATCCAAATATGATCCTGCGCATCCTGATTTCACTGTCTCACTGTTGGGTCAACCACACAGGGACAACCAGGAGAGAAAGACCCGACCTCACCTCCTGGGGATGAGGCGGAGGAGGACCAAGTTGGAGACACCACACTTGGCAAAAATAGGGAGTGGTGGGCGGCGGGCGGGGTCGAAAATCAGAAAGAAAACTGGTGACAAACCCACACCGCCCACCCTAAGCCAAATTCATAGGAAAATGTATGATTTGAAACAAGGTTTGCGAAAGCGCTTGTTACACTTCTCAAGCTAAGGCAAAACACAAACCAAACATGTTACACTTCTCGAGAGCGCCACATGGTTTAAAAAACTCACTACGCTTCTCGAAAGTGCACAGCAAATCATTCAAGCAGAGGTGATTGGCTTTGCAGTGGACAAGAAAGAAACACCCCTAGTGTTCCAAAAAGGTTGCCTTTGAAAACTGGTTACTTTTGGCCACTGCCAAAAGTTTCAACTTTAGGAAATAAGGTTCTTATCCTTTCAGGAGAAGGTACTTATTTCCTATGTTGAACCACCAGTTTTTCAGAATTTAAAATATTAGAATATATCCTAGGTCGGAAAAAAGCGAGCAAAATGCAAAAGTGAATCACAGCTGCACTCGCACTCAAATATTGATTCTTTTCTTTCAAGCAGTTGGGGTTTGTCCGAAGTGTTCGACTCACCAGCGATCCAAATATAATCCTGTGCATCCTGATTTCACTGTCTCACTGTTGGGTCAACCACGCAGGGACAACCGCAAAAAAAAACACCCGACCTCACCCCAACAACAAGTGTTTCGTCTTCTGGTACGCAGCGATAAACATATCCCAAGCGACCAAATGGCGCGTGACCCCAAGTCTTTCCAAGTGACAATACCTGAAGCGGCTTGGCTCATCTGCAGGATTAGAAAAAGAGGCAACGCGCCCGAACCAAGCCCTCCACTGGACTTCTGTTTCGATGTCCGCCATCATTTTAACGAGGGCTGCTGCCTGAGGTTGAGGGCCATTCTAGAAGCCTCATTGTCGATATAGCATACGACATACCGGCAAGGAAATTTGCCTCCCCACATGAATGCAGCAACCACAATAGATGGTGTTCTCACTGGTGAATTCAAAATCACGAAGCATGAGGTCTGGCTCGTCCGTGAATACCAGGAGCGTGGCTTCGACCTGGGAAGACAATTCCATAGGAGCACCAATGTCCACATGCTCGACCAAAAATTTCAAGGAGCTAGCATCAAGAGATGCTTCCTTTGCGGAGCTGCCAGCACGCTTCCCAATGCGGTGGATAGCCAAGTTTGCACCTCTGCCAAATAAGTATGAATCATACCAATGCAGCCGACCCCCTCGCACGCTCTGCCTCCTTTGGGCTAAGTGTGCCTCGTTCCAAAACGCCATGAAGCGTATTCAGAAGCTCGACCCTGCGCTCAGGTGTGTGGCGGATGGTGAAGGACCCCTTAACACAATTCGAAAGATCAAAAACGATGCCAAGGGCCTTCATCTCCTTACCAAAAGCAGTCCACTTCTTCCCATCACGAGCAAAGTCGATGCCCAAAAGATCAAGAACAAAGCAGAAGGCTTTGTCAGTCGAATCGGTCATGAGGTCAGAAGCCAGGGTCGGGTAGTCATCCAAAAATGCGCTTGTCCAAATCCCCATGCCGACAGACATGATGAAGAAAAGGGAGGTGGAGACTCGGAGAAAACCAGCAACACTTCCGGTGGCGCCGAAAGGCAACGCGTTCATCCCAAAGCACCTGACAGCGCCATCAAGCGGCGACTTCAAGGCAAGACGCAACATTTTGCGATCAGAGTGGTGCAAGGCGTATTGCTTGTATGCGCTTGTGAGGTCGTAGGTCTTTCCGGAAATGCAAACACCAGGGAACCCTTTTTGCAACGACAAACCCCGAAAGTCATGGCAATGTAGTCCACTCCATGCAATGAAAACTTTTCCAGAAGTCCACAGGTGTCGTTAAGACCGCAACTCTTGAAATTATCGATGGCTCGACACTTTTCGCTCTGCTTGATTCCGAACCGGTGGGCAGCCACTTTGTCAGTAAAATCACCGGACGTCCTCCCAGATCCAGCCGCGGGAGACTTCCTTCTCCGTCTCTGTCCAAGCTTCCAACAATAGCTCATCCACCGGATGTTGGCCAGCCTTTCTGAGAATAGCACGGTGCAACCCGTTGCTCTGCCTGAGCAAAGAAGCCACTGTAAGTTTCGGAGCCTTAGTAAGTTTCGTGAAGCAGTTTGAATCTCTCATCCAACCACTAAGGCGAAATCCATGCACGATGTCGCCAACAAGCCACTTGTCAGGATACCCCAATTCCTCGAGGATCGACTGGTATAATGTAAGGCGCTTCCCCTTCAGAACCATCCTGACGTGTGGAGGCATTGAGTCGTGCAGCTGTTTCTCTTCACCTTCAAGCTCTCTAGCCTTCTCAACCATTTTTTTGCAGAAAGCGGAACGTTTGGATGCCAGAGCGTGGGGCTTGGAGAACCAGTCTGTCAATGTCTTTGTTTGAGAAGGGCAAAAGCTTCGGATGTCCAACTTTCGCAGCCTGCTTGACAAAATCATGAGGTTTTCCTGGGATCCCGGCTTCAATGACATCCAGAAACATGGTCGTCTCTCAAATCATCAGAAATGCCGTCTCCCAAAGAAAATTCCTCAAAACTATCGAAAGCCCGAATCTCACCCCATGTAGCCAGCTTTCGATTGACTAGTCTGGATCCCTTAGGCAATGCAGCCAGTTGTGTTGCGCCCGTATCGTGTGGAAACACCACAAACCTTTGGTAGTGCGAAAACTCACTGACCAAAGGACGTAGTTTATGGCCTCGAGGCAGCAATCCCATAAAAACAGAATGAACAGCAGTAGTTGAAGGTTGTTGCAATTGTTCTTCAAAAGACATCGCTAAATGGATTCCTCTGCTGTGCAAATCACTTTGAATCAAAAAGGCAACACGCTGACACAGCAAAGGTGGATATTCAGCTTCACCATGCGTTGGAAACTGCAAAGAGTTCCCAACAATTGTTGGGGCCCAGCTTTTATGCGGGTGATCCTTAGAGCACTCGACATTGAAGCTATTGAAGAAAGAATCAGCGCACCACCAAGCTGTGATTTTGTTGCGATCTGAGCCCATCATGCAGTTGTGGAAATATGAAAAAACTCCAGGATGATGTTGCAGAAGCGTTTGGATGGGCGATGTTAACCAGAAAAGACTGTTTTTAGGGTTCTCAATGGACACTCTGATACCAAGCTCCAGTGCTGTCATGACGATTTCCTGTGTGGCCTCATAGAGCGCATTCGCTTGTTTTACTCGCATTTTGTCAAGGCCACGCAAAGTGTTGAGCCCATCAGGTTCTTAGGGATCTCAAAGGAGCTGGAATTTGAAAGTTTTGGGGAGCAAGATGTGGGAGTGGATTGTTTCTAGCGGCGGAGCAGGTGCCACATGGAGGGGCACAATGGATCAGCTCAACATTGCATGCTTCGGTTCGAATGTATTGAAGCACGAAGTCCAAATCTTCTTTTTCAGTCAGGTCCAAAATCGTAGTAGAACCCTTTGTCCTTTCGATTGCTTTGTCAATGCTCACTGCCCTCAATCCAATCTTGCGACAGGCGGCGCTCAAATTACCGCTTCCAGAAAAAAATTCAATAACCAGCTTATTCTCAAACATCTCAGACTTTCCCAACTGTTTGCCATCATCATCGTTTAACGATGTTGGATGAATTGCTTCAAGGTTCGAATTCATAGGGTTGTGCGGAACATCTGTAATTCCACCAACGATGTCGTCTGACATGGAGGTAGTTGACGATATTCCACAGTCGTCATCATCGCGATTTGGAAGGCAGCGTGTTTGTCAGCTACCGCCCTTGCTGTGAGGCGCTGCTTTGCACTTCTGAAATGAATGCCCGGTTTTCCTGCAGAATGCGCGCACGTGTACGCGACGACTGTATCTCATTGTCACGTTTGGTGCAGAGGCTAGGCGCTAACCACATTGGAGCACCAGTGCCATACATCATTTGACATTTATCAATGAGGCCAAATGAGGGCTCGGTTTCTCCTTGCGCCAAAAAACCAGCTAAATCTTGCTTGACCCTTGCCATGCTCTGCAAACGGAAGCTTTCTTGAAGCGTCACCCACGTCTCCTTTAACAGCGTTTTGAAGTTGAGACAAAACAAAAGTGCATGCATCGAAATGGAGGCGCCTAAGATCACTTGCCCGTCCTATGGTGAAGCCTGCCCCGAGCACTCGGGTGCAAAAATGCTCGAACTCCTGGTCAGTTGGTTGACGTGTGGGTGTCCCTATGGCAAATGCAAGCTTTGAATATGTCGTTATACTTTGCGCTTCCAAGACTGTCTTGAAATCGACTGTGTCACTCTCGATTTGTTGGCATCTCAATTGGAAGCATGCAACCGAGTCAGTTAATGTCATGGCAGGCCAAAAGGCAAGAAGCAAAAGTGAAAAACCACAAAAGAAAACCAAACAAAAATTTGCTGATGCTTGACACCTGGCAAGAAACCAAATGGAACGACCTGTTTCTGGAAATGATTTAGAACCAGGGCTAAAGCCAGAAAGCAACGGATTGAGTATTCACTCCAAACCCCCTTGCCACTCTGCTCCCACTGCAACACAATGTTCGTTAAAAATTTCGAAAAAGCATAACGGATGCCGACAGACATGTCTGGTGGTGCTTGCTCTGAACATTCGTCTTTCAAGCCAAGATTGGTGAGTCCTCACATCTGGCAAAGACAAGTTGATGGCTGGAATGAGACCACGCCAACCAAGCACTTTACGAATCAAAGATTGGAAATAGAATTCCACATCTTCAATGTTCATGGAGGTTGGGTGAATACCACACACACCATGAAGGAACAAAAACGAATTTAGTAAAGTTGAGAAATAAATGGCTAAAGTTCTGGCGCTCCCCAAATGGAAGCGGACACTCCGCCCCCCAAATGGAAGCAGTTTTCCTTTAGCTCAAGCTGAATGAATCCTTCTTTGCATGTCGACTGCACGTGTGGCAAACTGCAGCATCATAACGGACGTTGGAAGGAGCGACGTAATCTGCACTCACCAGCCTCCCACAGCCCGTACTTCTTGGAAATCTCGAATCAACAACGTGCAATGTTTTGGTCCTCTTGTGTTGCAAAAAGCTGCAGTTCTCTGGTGCAACCGGCGGCTGGAATTTCTTGACGTAAGTTTCAGGAGGAGTGGCACTTTCCTCAGAGTCACTCGAGTCCGATGAGTCAGTCACTCCTGCAGCTTCCAAAACTTCGGCGTTCAAGAGGTCCACGCAATTGTCATCCATAGTCCACTGTTTTATTGATGGCGTTGGCAAAAAGCTAGCCAAAGCAAAACTGCCAAAATGAGCAACAGCAGGACGATAACACATCGGTTGCGTCGATGGTTAGACTGAGACATATCTCTGATGGCACCGGCAATGTTGACCAAACCAAGTTCAACCGTTGGTGTTGAGGGGTAAGATGGTGGAGCATCCATGGCGTCGAAAATCAGAAAGAAAAGTGGTGACAAACCCACACCACCCACCCTAAGCCAAATTCATAGGAAAATGTATGATTTGAAACAAGGTTTGTGAAAGCGCTTGTTACACTTCTCAAGCTAAGGCAAAACACAAACCAAACATGTTACACTTCTCGAGAGCGCCACATGGTTTAAAAAACTCACTACGCTTCTCGAAAGTGCACAGCAAATCATTCAAGCAGAGGTGATTGGCTTTGCAGTGGACAAGAAAGAAAAACCCCTAGTGTTCCAAAAAGGTTGCCTTTGAAAACTGGTTACTTTTGGCCACTGCCAAAAGTTTCGATTTTAGGAAATAAGGTTCTTATCCTTTCAGGAGAAGGTACGTCATTGGAATACACCACGGTGCCACATAAAAGTGGTTCCGGTACGTAGTCCAAAAGTGCAGCGTCAAAAGTCCGGTGTATGCATACAGCAAGATCAAAATGCCATTGCAAAAGTAGCAAAGAGTGAAAGTTTGAGCAAAACCATTGGTTCGAAGTTGCCCTTCTTCAAAGTTCCCATGGCAAAGGTGGCCACAAAAGTTCAGCCTGGGATGCCAGAAGCCTGGGATGCCAGACGAAAAGATGGTTCCCCTCAAAACTCGTAAAGTTTGGGTTATCACCGACCTGGCTAAGACCTAAGGTCTACAACAAGTCAAGTGAGAAACAGTCCTAAAGTCCGGGGATGCTTTAAAACTACATCCTTGCTTACATCTTTGGTAAGTAAGTCAACAGGATCCAAGGTACCCAAAACCTTCCTCAGTCTAACCAATCCAGAAGTAACAGGTTCCTGCATATATGAGTACCTAAGTGGAACATGTTTGGTCTTTTTTGAAATACCAAATCGTCCTGCCATTGATTTTCCAGCAGCTGAGTCTGTACAGACAGTTAAGTTTACTTTGGAAAACAAGTTGGTCTCCAAAACAAGTGATCTCAAAAATGGAGAATCTGAAGTCCCCGACCAAATAGCGTAAAGTTCTGCTTCACCAGAACTAAGAGCGACTGTTGCTTGCGTGCTTGAGTGTGAAAGCACGTTGACACCAAGTACAAAAAGCGAAACGCCAGAAGTAGAACGACGTATGTGTGTGTGCGCGCGCGCGCAACCAGCCCAATCACTACCCACTTACACGTTTATGTCAAGTAAATGATGGTGAGGATGAAGTTGCAAAGTGGGTCGAAGTGTTTGTGTGACCTGCTTGTTCCTTGCAAGTACCTCAACAAAGGTTTCAACGGAAAGTTCCCTGGAAAGTTCCCTCACAGAGAACACGATGTCATTTCCCACATTGCGCATCCAACTTTTGTGGCTTACAAGTCTGTGCACCTTGTGTTGTTCAGGGTCAAGTGGACTAGAAGTTCTTTTGGTTTTGAAGTGCCTCCGGGTGTCCAAATTGGTTTGCAGTTCATGAAAAGTTCAATGCTGTCTGCGTTTCGTTTGATTTGTCTACCTAAGTTACGTTGTTGCCTTCTGAAAGTTCACTGGCCGTTTTCGCCAAAAGGTCCTTTCCTAAGTCAGTGACAAGTTGTGAAACATCAGAATCGCTACCAAAGACCATCAAGTCATCAACGTAGCAAAGAACATAAAGTTTCTTTGTTTTATGTACGTACAAGTTTGGGTCACTTTTCATTCTCTGAAAGTTGTTTCCAGCCATAAGTGGTCTTGCCAAAGTCGAGGAGCATTCCTTAGAGAGTACCATGCGCGCCTCAGCTTCCAAAGTACACCTCCTTCAGGGAAAAATTGCAAAGACGGTATGACAAAAGTGTCTTCCCCAGTGATTCCAGCATGGAGAAAGGCGGTGGAGATATCCAAAGTTGAAATCCTCCATCCAAAGAAATCGCCAAAGTCAGTAGCAGTCAAAGAAGGATTGCTGGCAAAAGTATCATCGGTGTCTTCAACAGTTGGTCATGACCACGAACAGCAAGTCTACACCTAACAGTGCCACCACGTTCCCTAAACCTTAACCCAACGTGTTGAAATTGCTGAGTTAAGTTGGGACTGGGCCATTGAAGACGTTTGCGCCTCAGTGAACACTCCAAAGTCCATCATGGATTTCATGTCCTTCTGCGTTGCTTCAACTTCAGTTGCTTAGGCAGTCTCATACCAAAGTTGAGGATTCTGGAAGGTCTTCAGAAGTAAAAGTTCATTTTCATCCTCATTCACAGGAACAGGAACCTCAAGTTGAGTCTTTGGCATGGTGACAGCTGAAATCCTAGCATCAGAAATTGGAATCTTGACATCCAAAAAATCTGGGGAAACGATAGCTGAAATTCGTTGATGTTTGGTTTCAGTCACTTCTTCTTGTTCTTCTAAATTACGCTTACCTTCCAAGCCAACTGCATCGTTCAAACGTTGACGAGGTGGAAGTGGAAAGTCATCCCGTCCAATTACAAGTGACCTCCTCAAAGGTCAGTAGGCAAAGTTTGGTCCCCAAGTCTTGCATCAGGTGTTATGGACGCCCCCTGGGAAGGAAGTCACAAACTGAAGCAAAGATAAAGTTGTCAGCTGCCTGGATCTAGGGTCCGAAGGGGTGGTGTGGATTCACCATAAGACATAGCGCTGTTTTTGAGCGCTCTTCTTTGAGGAAAGCTTTGTAGAGATGACTTTGACCGCAGCCGGCTTGAGTTCAAGGCTTAAAGCTTTCGCGTTGGTAGCGGAGCTGCGCGTTTCTGTTTTGGGACTGATCCATTGAAACTAGCTGCGACAGGCAGGTTTTGAAAATTTTTCCTTGGTCCAATTCAGCCAGCAAGAAAAACAAAAAAAGGCAGCGCGTCAGCGCGTTTTTGTTTTTTCTTTGATGCCTCCAGCCTGGACAGCACGCTTTTTCCATGCCCTGCAAATCTTTTTGGCCCGAGCGAAGATAAGCCGCTGGCTGCTACAACATTTGTTGTCACATGATTTTACCAGATCAATTTCAATTTCAGTGTGAAGCAACTGCCTAACGGCCTCACAGACCCCAAGACATTCTAAGCATCAACCATCGCCATGTTGTTTGGATCTTTTTGAGGATCGATATTGAGTCTGGACAAAAGTTAGAGTGTCTAGGGCCATAGGCGTAGACGCCACCTGTGCAATCCACTCTTGTCACTGCTGTGCTCATGGCCCCAGCGGCGTTACTGCTGCAGTTCATGCATCGTTGGTTTTTGTATCCTTCTTTGAAGGACGAAGATATGTTCAGGGAGCAGCATGGAGGCCCGAGTGTGCCTGGGTGGAAAACTTGGCTCGCCAACATGGGTTGGATGCGTGTTTGGCAGATGAAAAAACCATGAAGCGGTTGGGCGCACGTAGGTCTGCTGCGGAGCAGCCAAGGCCAGAAGTCCCAAAAGCAGCTGGCCTGACTCGCATTTCATGTTTGGTAGTTGTGGAGAACGGACGGCTTGGCAGGGGGCCTCTGACAATGTGGACCCCAAGAGGAAAAATTTTCCATGATGCATCAAGACGCAGCGGGCAGCGCTCACACAACGTTTTCACTTCGCATTGCAAAGGCCTTCAAATTCTCTGAGCCTTTGGTGTCGCGCTGCCCGGCCAGGTTTTTTTTCTGAGTGGTGGCAGCCCGACAAAATGACTACTTTCCTGGCAGGTGCAAGCGGAGAAGCGCTTTCAACCATGTCAAGAGAATTGGGAGCGCAGGAAGCAGACCTGGCAGGTTCTTTTGGAAGATCCCATAGCCGTACGCGTGCCCAGAGTGCTGGGAGCTCATTTGCACAAGGAAGCCTTAAGCGGCTTTCCTTCAGAGGATTCGGCTAGCCAGGTAGGCCAGGCAGACAGCTTGAGGCAACGCAAAGGCCTTTGTTTTTGGCGCACGCCCACGGCCTCACTGCGCTCATGGAGCGAAAGCATTCTGTCGCAGCAAGCGGAAGGTGAGGGGAGAGAAACCAATGCATGGTGACTTTGGAGACACCTGCTGCGCTTGGATCAATTTGCCGGTGCTGGTTTGCTCTGAATCTATGCTCCATGCCTTGCGCGCTGCCATGAACTTGAGAAACAGATCCAAAATGGCTGAGACTTGCCGGCATACCCTCCTATGTCACAGGGCAGACAACCAGGGGCCCGGCACAGTGGATGAAATTTTGAGAACAATAGAATAGCAAGGCCCAAATTAAATTGGATGCTGCGATGCGGGCACTGGAAAGAAAAATTGAAGTGGTGGGCTGTCCAGTGGGCTAGAGATGGCTTCAAGACAGGTGGATAGACTAGAGATGGTTTTAAGACGGGCAAATTGAGCCAAGAAGCTCCCAAGGATAGACTAGAGAGGGTTTCAAGACAGGCAACTTGAGCCAAGAAGGTCCCAAGGGTAGACTAGAGATGGTTTCAAGACAGGCAACTTGAGCCAAGAAGGTCC